GACTATGTCTTCGATAAGAGAGGAGCACTTGGAGCTAGTGAGGAGAGACTGCGGATGGGGCGAGGGGGTAGCGTTGCAGGCGCTCCCCCGGGATGAGGGTATCAAAGACCTTGCCAATGGATTCCTAAACGTGTACTTGTACCCTTTCGCACTAGGCCCCCTTGATAGGGTCGTGCTTGATTTCTGCTCAAAGTATCAGGTTACTTTTGCACAGATACATCCTTCATTTTGGCAAACAGTGCTGATGATGAGGTTCTTTGCGGAGAAGGCAGGGCTTGAATTCATGCTCGATCACCTTGTCAGGCTACACCGACCCTTTCATTATCGAGGCCTGCTAACCTTGCGGTGCCGTTCATCCACGCCCTTTGCTATTGATGATGAGGAAGATGGAGATCGAGAGTGGGTTAGTCAGTTCGTCCGGGTCCGAATGACTGACGTTATCCCCATGGAACTTATGCCATTCCTCGAGGAATGTAATTATATGCGTGAGTGGAGCTCCTCGTGCTTTATCAGACTCGCTCATGGCAGAAGTTAGTTTAGTAATCGTGTTTCCTTCCTTTCTGCAGTAATTTTATGGGCACCATGTGAAGTTCCTGATCTGCCTGGCTGGGTTCGGAAGCTGGCGACCCATTCGACTTTTGACGAGCGTAGGTGGTGAGATGTATCTTGAGGCATATGGGAAGCAAAATATCATGGTATGTATGTACGTTACTTTTATCTTGTCCCCCGTACATTTGGGAGGGATTTTTCTCCTTTTCATGTATTAACCTTGCCGTTGTAGGTATTAGAGGGTCTCCAAGGGGGAGGCTATGCTCCTCCGGAGAAGGGGAGGGGTTGCCAGCTTTCTAGATAAATGATGACAATAATAGATTGGATATGCATTTGCAGTGCGATGACGTTCGCAGCAGGACGAAACAGGGCCGAGTCTTTGAGGAGAAAACATCTTCCGAGCCTGTTGTCCCTGAAGTCTCCGATCTTGGAGAGGAGGTTCCTCCGAGCGATCATGATCCGACCGGGATTGATTCTTCCAGGGTAGAGGGGACTATATTGAAAGATGTGTGCTCGGCCTTCGAGGAAGTCCGCCGACTTCACTTCGCGGTGAGCTTTGGCACAGGCCTTCCGAGTCTCGCGTCCTCCCTTACTTATCGAGTTTTTCTTTTGCAGGCTCTTGGCAGGCTTAGGTATGAGCTTCTCCAACATGGGGCTAGGCTCCGGAAAGCTCTGGATGAGGGTAAGTCCCTTTGGATCCTTTGCGAGGAGAAGGAAGCTGAGTTGACACACTGGCGATATGAGGCGTACCGGAGCTCGAATTACGAGAGCTATTTGATGGAGCAGGTAACTTTTCGTACCAAGAAGGTATGCGTTTTTCTTCTTAACCTCTCAAGTTAACTCTTCGCCTATCCCAGCTACAGAAAAAGACGGAGGCCCTGGAACGCCTCAGGGGTGAAGCCGACCGAATCAAGAATAACTGCGCCGAGCTAAGAGCCCAGGCGCAGGTTCAAGCTTCAGAGGAGAAGGGTGCCTTGGCTAAAGTTCCTGCCTTCGAGATTTAACTCCGCTTAGCTTGTAATAATGCTCCAGTTCAAGCGGATATGATCACGAAGCTTGAATCTGAACTTTCGAAGGTCAGGGCTGAGATCGTTGATGATTGAACCAAAGCCATACTGAGTCAGATTAAGGCTGATCAGGAGATGGCGATTTATTTGAAGGATGCAACCGATGCCCAAGTCGAGTTGAAGAGGTTCCTCGATCGTGAAGAGAGGATCAAAGAATATGATCGTTGTAGATCCCGAAGAAAGGTTCTCGAGGAGATCGATATCAGGGGCTTTGTTCTCCCAAAAGAGTTGGCGCGAGCGAGGGCGGACGAGCGTCACGCTTGGTCACTTCTGTCTAACCTTTAGTAGAGTGAAGACGAGGCTAGTAGGCTGCAGCCCTCAAGGGCGGGGTGTAGACTTTTCTATCTTGTATATGATATTTGTAGATGGAGGATGCACTTTTTCATGTATGTAAATAAAAGAAACTTGAAGCTTTACTTTTTATGTACCCCCTTCTGCTTCGCTTCTAACCAGGTGGAGTAGTTTCGGAGTTGGTGAGAATCCTTAGATTCGTGATATGGCTTCGGGGCTCTTATGTGTTAGGTCGATGCGGCCTTTAGTGTAAGCTGACGTTAGAGCTCTTATGCTTTTGCTCAACTGTTTTAGGTTCAGTCTCCAAGTCGGGCTTCGACTCGAGTTCATTAAACCCTCAAGTTTTTGTGTATGCATGGGCGGGCGACAATGGCTCCTACACCTTTCCCTTGGGCATTTTTATTCTAACTATTTTGGGTTCAGTCTCCGAGTTGGATTTCGACTCGAGCATAATTGACCCTCAAGTTCTGTATTTGCATGGGCTGGCACGACGGCTCTTACGCCTTGGGTCGAGTGACCTTTTATGTGTGTGGCCCTAAGTCTCATGACGCTGGCGATGATGGCTCTTACGTTTTGCCCTTAGGCATGTATAGTTAATTATTTTGGATCCGGTCTCCGAATCGGACTACGACTCCAGCTCATTTTGACCCTCAAGCTTTCAAATTTTAAGCTGGCGACAGTGGCTCTTATGCTTTTGGTCGATGTGACCTTTTAGTGTGTGGCCCTGAGGCTCGTTAGGCTGGTGACAATGGCTCTTACGCTTTGACCTTAGGAATATGTAGGCTTTGTTTACCTCTCGTTAAGGTTTTTTTTGAAATGATTTTGCCTGACCCGTCGTCGGTTTGGGAAGAACCTTGATTTCAAGTCGTTTGCGGCAATATTCCAGCACCTCGGAAGGTTTAGCTCGTAGGCTGAGTAGCTCAAAGCCTTGAGATTTGGAGCTGACATGGTCGAAGCTCTTTTGCCTGTTGAGGGTAGCCTATTTAACCGGTTCTTTTTGAAGTAGAATCTAAGTAATGGCCTATGATTTTGTAGCGACGGTCGGACGTCCCCGAGTTGCATTAATTTGGCTAGTACAGCTATACGACCGTAGTCATTTGTGTTTGGCTGGAGTCATTTTTTATCCCGAGTGTAGTATTTTAGGCGTCTACATCAAGGGTATGCCCTTTCAAGAGTCTTACAAATGCGACGTATAGCCTAAACTTTGGGACTGAGTTTATGCCTGTAGTAAGGACTTACAAAATTTTCATGCCTTTTGAGGTCTTACAGTTTTGTTGATACTTGGTACAATTATGACTCATGCCTTGCTTGAGGTATTATAGTTTTTTCATGCCTATTGAGGTCTTATAGTCTTTTTATGCCATTGAGGTCTTATAGTTTTTTCATGCCGTTAAGGTCTTACAGGTTATCCATGCCTGTTGAGGTCTTACAGCTTCGTTGATACTTGGCACAAGTTTTTTGGGACCGAGTCTACCGCTTGGGTTCTTACGGCCTCAGGTTTTGTAACGAATGGTGATTGGTGACAGTCTCCGAGTTATCGAGTTTGCTTTGGCTTGGAAGACGTTACTCGAGAGCTCGAAATTGCCTCATCGAGGGCTGATGATTTTGAATATTCCGACCCTGAGGTCATGCAAGCATCGAGTTATTAATGCCAGTCTCCAAGTACTTGGGGTGCTTTTGGTGGAGGTATCTTTGTTGAGAAAACGTTGAGTTTTCTTTAGAGTATAAGGTGCTTCAGCAGAAGACATTCTCTGATTCCTTAGCATAAATACATGTCGTTTTGTTGCCTTGGATCTGGATCATACGAGCACGGTTCATTCGACCGTTTGGCCCGGTGCATCATTTTCTTAGTTGAACCCTGTTTGGCGCTCGTCGTTTCTTCCAAGTGGGTGACCTTTTGAGGGATGCCCTCTAGTGTTCGGAGTTGATTGCAAAGGAAGCCTTGTATGCTTTTCGGATCCTCCTTAGGTAGCATGTGAACGTTGCCTCATTAAAAACCTTGCCGGTGAAACCCTCTCCGGGACAAAAGCTCGGCCAAAGGAAAAGAGTGCAACAGATGCCGTTAAAGCCTTGAGATCTTTGGGTTGGGTTAGCGCTTTCGACCGCCTTGACCGGGCACCTGCATATGAGTTAGTGTAGAATAATGAAAGGGGGAGGTGGTCTTACCTTATCGTGGGATGCACCGACAATGTTCCGTGGTCTGATGTATCCCATTGTTTGGAGTGAGGACTTGGTACGGTCCTCCTTGTGTTTAATCGAGCTTAGCCGAAGACGTAGTTTTGTTATCCTTTGATTCTTTCGAGAGTGGAGATATTGGTTCTGGTGCTACATTACGTAACACGAACGCTTCCCTTGCCGCGCGTTGTTCCCCGTAAATGGTTTTAACCCCATCCTCCATCAGAAATTTTATCATTTGGTGGAGGCGGATGGTGCCATTCTCGTGCAGTGTATCCTTGGTTGTCTGGGTAAGGCGTAGTATTTCATGTCTCCTTTAATGACATGGAATTTTGGCGTTTTGGGCCGCGTCAGCCACACCGGCTGGGAGAGTGGCTTCCCCCTTTCGTTGTTTCGATCACTATGTTGAATCCATTAAGGATTCGATAGGCGGGCACGATTTGGTCTAGCAGTCAGGGCTGCTCTATTACTCTTGACCTGATAATGTTGGTCGAGCTACTTGGATTCACGAGCACATGTTTTATTCGAAATGAATAAATGAAAAAAGAGGTTACCAGTGTTTTGTTATGAGGTTGGAGCGAGGTCTCGGAGTCTTCCTTGCTGAACGCGAGGGCATCTTCGGATACGTATCCCCGAGTTCGTCTTTCTCTGTTGATGGATATTTTTGTCCTCCTTGTCACAGGTTCCTGGGGAGCGTTGACGCCCCTCCAATATCATGTGGATAACGTGTCATGATTCATTTGCTTCGTTCTTCTTGGCCGCCACTCTTTTTCGGAACTGGATTTTAGCCCGATCGTTAAAAAATTCTCAGTGGTGACTTTTATCGAGTAGCCTGGCTATTTCCTTTTGGAGCTGGTGGCAATTTTTTGTCTTATGTCCACGCGTATTATGAAGTGCACATACTAAGTTGTAGTTCCTCTACGAAGGATTCGACAGAATAGGCCTGGGCCATCCGGTGTCCCTGGTTTTGCTGAAGATGAGCATGATGTCCGGTTCATCGATGTTGGACTTGTATACTGATAGGTGAGGTGCCCTCGCTGACCTCGTGTCCTCGTCAAATCCTCCTAGACTAATGAATCCACTAGGGTTCTGTTTTTGGTTCACCATTCGCTCGTTGCGAGGTGGATTGCATCTCGGTATGTTCCTCCTATATTTGGGGTACGACTGATACCTATCTTTGTTCGATTTCGACTCCTTCGCTAGGAGTCTGCTCGGATGTACTGAACCTGAGGGGGCTCCCAGCTGGTCATCCTCGACCCTGATCTTTGATTGGTACCGGTTGTGGATGTCCGACCAGGATACGATGGGATACTCGACTAGATTCTCTTTCAGTTGCCTTGAGGCCGCTGAGCTTCGCTCGTTCAGGCCTTGAGTGAAGGCCTGCACTGCCCAGTCATCGGAGACCTGGGGTAGTTCCATCAGTTCCGTTCGGAAGCAAGATATGAATTCTCGCAAAATTTCATTCTCCCTCTTCTTGATCTTGAATACGTGGGCCTTCCTCATTGCTACTTTGATGGCACCGATATGTGCCTTTACAAAGGAGTCTACTAGCATGGAGAATGAATTTATGGAGTTTGGAGCCATGTTGTGATACCACATCATGGCCCCCTTTGAGAGCATTTCTCCAGGCTTTTTCGATAAGACGGACTCGATCTCATCGTCTTTCATGTCGTTGCTCTTCACCGAGCACGTATAGGCAGTGACATGTTCGTTGGGATCTGAGGTCCCGTTGTATTTCAGGAGTTCCGACATTCTGAATTTCTTTAGAATGGGTATCGGGCCGCTTCTTCGGGGAACGGCCTTTGTATGAACTTTTTCGAATACACACCCTTGGGCGCGCCCGAGATTTGGTCGACCCTAAAGTTATAGGTTTCGACCTTCTTGTCATTGGCTTCTATCATTTTCTCGCCCGACTTGATCCTTTTGGTGAGGTCTTCCAGTATTTTTACGATAGCAGGATCGGCTACTGATCCGTTGTTGCTTGATCTCTCCGGTACCTGTTCGGCCGGGGAAGTAGTTTCCGGTGCTACTGTGCTGGGAGTCTTCGGGGTGGCTTTGTAGTTGAGCAATAGCCAACTGTTGTGCCTGCAACATTTCAAAAATAACATGAAGACTAACTTCCCATTCTTCCCGAGCTGGGGTTTTTTGGGCTTCCTGTTGGTCACCATGTTCTATGCTCCTGTCAGTGTGTGAGGTTTCGTCGACCTGCTGTGCGTCTTCCAAACCCGCGTTCGCTGAAATCAGTCCAAGCACATTGTCGGGGTTATGTGGTGGCGCGCCAATAATTGGAATAACCACACCATTTTCTCTGTGGTTTTCAAGGTTGTCGTTCTTAACTCTGTTCACTGAGCCAAACATTTTGACCTAAAATCGAAGATCTTGGATAAGAGAAAGTGTGAAAGATAACTCGCGTTGTGTGATAAAACCAGCAAGAAAATAATCACTATTATTTTTAGCCCAACGGTGGGTGCCAAACCGTTTACCGTGAAAATGGTGATAACAATTAAATTTATTGATGGGGCTCTAAAAATACGTGATCTATTTTTATGCTAGTTGTTAAAGCAGTTGATGCTAGATATGTGAAGCTTAACGGCGAAATACGAACTAAAGTAGAGTTATAATCAAACCGAGGGGCTAGCTATTCGGGCCTCGGACTGACCTATGAGGGGCCTCAAGGCCGATGCCTGGGCTCGGGCTCGAGCTATCAGGGGTAATCGGGGAAGGGCTAACAGTTAGGATATAATCAAGGAATGTTCTTTATGGCCAATAACAAGCAATAAATGAAGAACAAGTATGAAAGCAATAAATGAAAGCGATAATCTCGAGCGAGTAAGTTAGAGAGAAAAGAGAGAGAGGGTTGTTATTTATCTCGAGTAGAATAGTTGGAGCAACAACAACCCCTTACAAAGTGATGAGGATCCCTTTTATATAGGAGGGGAAATCCAACATAGTACAAAATGCATTAATTGTAAAGGTATGAAGATGGTACAACTAGATGTGACAGCTTGATACAGGCTTCGGGTAGACCGACTTTGTCAAACTTAGCCGCGTGCCTAGGGAATCCCGTATTTTACTCTAGCCTCAATCAATATTCTCTTCAGGTTGGACCTCGATGAGCTTCGAGGGAGGGAACTCGGTCACAGCTTCGCATCCTCGAGGCCTCGAGGCGTTCTCCTGAAGTGAATTAACAGCAAGAAATTGGGCCCTCTAATTTCGCCGCATACAGGGCGCACCATCTAGGTGTCTCACGAGAAGATCTATTAGCACATTTGCAATAACCTTCAGAAATTTCAACTAATACAAACAATCCATTCACTATTTTGGGTCACTCTAACCCCAGCCAGATCCTAATATCCGTCCTTTTCTTATACTACTTTTGTTAACCCCATAGGGCATAACTGAGATGGGTGCAGCTAATTGTACATACCTCTGTTATTAATGAAGGTACTCAAACTGCTTATATCTCTCCTCCTGAATGGTAAATAAGGATAATCTTCATTAACTGGGTACCTAGTATCCTCTTTCACCTTGCTTCCTTTACTTGTTAAAACTTGTATTTATCTTCTGAATCTCTCATTGTCTCTCACCATAAAGGTGGATAGATTTTATTGCCTTAATGTACCTTATCAAGAGGCTTACATGTCTTAGTACACACATGATCTACTGAAGACCATATATTTACTTATCATAAGCATCATGAGAAATAAAGTACCTCTAATGCAACTCTTCCATATCTATATCTCTTACCAATCACCTTTTTGGATGTAGACATCGTTGTATTATGAATAAGATAGAGTTTCAGAAATTGACTTCTTAAAAGTGAGTTCTACCACACGATCTAGAGTAAGAAGAAAGAATGACAATCGTAAATGTCCTGTAGCCTCCTAATTATAAGTGTGGTGCACGACACACACATAAACAAGACTCTACTAGACACAGCTTGTAGACTCCCTAGGACAGAACTGCTCTGATACCACTTTTGTTAAGACCTAAACCGATGGGCCACGATGGGCACCCGGTACCTTACTCAACTGAGTACCAACATAATGTATCTTTTCATGTCGTACTATCATAGATAACTGGGCTGGAGAGGCTGTCGCGAAATAGGTAGAATACAACAGGTAATGTCAACTTATACATAAGTCATATGGGCCTCTAGGACCAAAATAACCACTTGAACACTGAACATAGGCCAGCAAGGCCATATAATCATTTACGTACATGACATCTGTCTACAAGCCTCTAAGAATACATAATTTTCATAAAGGTCGGGATAGAGTCCCGCCATACCAAACAATACACATCTAACTCATACTAACCAAACAAGCAACTCCGAAGTAAATGGAGCGCAACAACATCTTCTACTAAGCTGATAGTCTACTTGGAGGGCTCTCGACCTATCTATCTGGACCTACGGGCATGAAACACAGCATCCCCCAAAAAAAAGGTCGCAGGTACGAATAATGTACTGAGTATGTAAGGCACATAAATAAGTGCATAACAGACGTGGAGGAAATATAGAGTAAATGACTCCACCTGTAAGTCTGAATAACTTTATAAATCATGAAATAATTATAGTATCATGCATATGCGTATGAATGTCATGTTGTGCATATGTACATGTTTCATAACATCATCAGCCTCGGAGGGCATCCCATCATATCATCTTGGCCACTGTGGGCAAAATCATCAACGTATACTAGCTGATCATGTGGTGGTGCATATATAATGCCATAACCTTTCCCATATCACATATAAATATATATACATACATATATACGTGTATGTAACACCATCTGGTCATGGGTCAATGTACATGAATGCAATGCATGAAAGGTACGTTATTAAAATCTTTCGGAATGTCATAAAACCATTTTGCCTTTGAGTGACATCATAAAGTAAATTCTTTTCAATTTTCGTATTTTTCTGAGACCCATGAACAGATGATAGAATAATATGACACATGGGGAATCAAGAATACATGCACCCCTAGTATTTCTATGAATAGAGTCATTTATGAAAGTTGCGTATTTTGCTCGATTTCATTTGCATCGTATTGATCATGCCAAAAGAAAGAAGGAATAGCCTTAACATACCTGGAATAGGGAAAAATCTGCATGATGTTTTTGAAAATAGTTGCACCGTACTCCTTTAGAACCACAAAATTTAATATTGCTATGATCCTAAAAATTCTCGCAAAAATTTCATTGCAACCTATGAATTGTAGTGTTTTTGTGATTAAAAGCTATTGTTTTGGTTTTGTATACAAGACGTGAAAAAGTGAAGCTTGTTGAAGACATTTACCAGAATTTGCACGTTTTGCCTTTTTGGAGAATCTCTTAAACATTTATTCATTCCCAAGTGCTAATTGTATGGAATGAATAATGCTTTGATCTTTGTCTTTTATATTCAAGACATGGTTATAAAAGTGGCTAAGTCTAGGTTTGCCACCTAGAGACATATGAACGTTAGTCATTGCTTATAATGTGGCTAGTTTCCACATTTCTTTTTTTGGGTAATTATTAATTTTGATCCACTTATTAGTTAATTGGGTAATGTCCCGTTACCCGTTATTTAACTAATTACCCATATAATTATGAATTATTTTCACTTACTTAAAATATTACTCACTTTTCACATACCTTACTATCATGGACATGTGGTACCTTGTATGGTACTAGTTCATAAATACCAGGTATTTTAGCTCGAGCCGTATTTTATCCCAAAATACGAAATTCATTTTCTTCGACTTGCTTCCCCTCTCACCTTCACGAATTTACTCATCACTTATAATCTTTATAATCTCCAAATAATCTTTTCCTTAGACTGATGCCAATTACCTTACGACAAATTCAACGTACAATACTACATGGTGCAATATCATCATAACTTAATACTGCGAAGCGTAATATCACCGTAATGCAATACTGCAAGGCGTAACATCATCGTAATATAATAATGCAGGACATAACATCATCGTAACATTGCAGGGTGTAACACAACCGGTCGTTTTGAGCTCTAGCACGTCGTTCAATGGTTTGAGTCCATGAGCAGCCTCACTTAAGGTATTATGACTTGTACGCTAGACAGAATTGAAATTTGGGGAGTTTGGAGTTGATATGGAAAGAGAATTCTCATTTCGGAAGCTTAAAGTTGGAAGAATTTGACTAAGGGTTGATTTTAAGTAAATGACCTCGGAATTGGGATTTGAAGGTCCCAACAGGTTCGTATGATAATTTTGGACTAGGGCATATGTCCGGATTTGGTTTTAGATGGCCTGGGAGCATTTTGGCACATATTGTGAAAGTTAGTATTTTGGGAAGAATTTGATAAATTTGGGTTGTAGTGAGTTTCAATGTTTTTGATATCTATTTGGGATTCCGAGCCTGGGAATAACTCTGTATGGTGATTCTGGCATTGGGAGTGCACCCAGAAGTGGATTCGGAGACCCGTAGGTCATTTTGGAGTCATCTGGCTAAAATTAAAAATTTGAAGGTTTTGAGAACTTTGACCAGAGGTGGACTTTTTGATATTGGGGTCGGATTCCAATTCCGAAAGTTGGAGTAGGTCCGTAATATTGAATATAACTGTGTACAAAATTTGAGGTCAATCGGATGTGATCTGATAGGTTTCGGCATCAAATGTAGAAATTTGAAGTTCTAAAGTTCATTAAGTTTGAATTGGGGGTGATTTATGATTTTGATGTTTTCTGATGTGATTTGAGGCCTCGAGTAGGTCCGTGCTATGTTAGG